GGAGCCCCCATGGGACTGGACTAGGCCCTTTGGATACGGAAAACAGTTGTTTGGCTCGAACTGTTTGGGGGGCACCCAGGCAGGGGGATTGAGATCTGTCCCTGGTCTATGGGCAGGCTTCTGGAGTCCGGTGCCTGTGGTGTGACACCTTGCACAGCCTTGGTGCAGTGGGAAGGAGCTTGGACCTGCCTAGGCTCAGTGTGCTGGGCTCTGCTGACTCCCCATGGGAGACCTCGATTTGGGGGATGTGGGGATGTGGGGTGGCTTGGAAAAGAGGGCTGGGGGTGGGAGGAGGGGGGACCTGTGGATAGTATGTAGAGTGAGTAGAAAATTTCTTAATAAAGAAAAATGAAAGAAAAAATATCTGCCGTAGACTCTTCAGAAAGGGCAGCACAGACAGCTCGGTGGTTCACACCTGTAGTCCCATTACTTGAGGTGGAGGCAGGAGTATCAGGGCCATGAGGTGGTCTTCAGCTATGGCAAGTTTTGAGGCCAGCCTGGACTATGTAACACCTTGTCTTGAAAAATAAAAACAGGGCTGGCAAGACCCAAAGGCACTTCCGAACAAGCCTAGCAACCGAAGTTCTGTCCCTTGGGGTCCACATGGTGGAAAGAGAAAACTAACTCCCCCTGCAAGTTTTCCTCTCACCCCAAGCACATCATGGCACATGCACACACACATACAGTGAATAAATAAAATCTATATATTTTTAAAGTCAGTTTCATGAACAGTGGACTAAAAATGACTGAGAAACTATTTTAGATCAAAGGAAACTATAATGAGACAAGATAACCAGGTGCAGTATCCACAGCCCTTGGTTAAATTATTAGGCTGAATCAGAATATTTTAATATAAAGTATATTAAATACTATATTATTTTATCAGAAGTAATTTTTAGTAGAATTAATAAATTGTGAGCATCTGAAATAATCTTGTTCTTAGTAGATATTGTTAAATTATTAAAGATTGAAGTGTCCTTTTGGTTGTAGTCTGTTCTCAATTGGTCCAGCAAAAAGAAATACATGTAGAAAGGCCAAAGTGTTTCCTGTTTGCTAACCTAAACAAAGGTACATAAATGTTCCCATAGTGTTGAAACTGTTCCATTTGAAAATTCTCAGAATACAGGGGCTGGGGAGATGGCTCAGAAGTTAAGAGCACTGGCTGCTCTTCCAGAAGACCAGAGTTCAATTCCCAGCACTCACATGGCAGCTACAACTGTCTATAACTAGTTTCAGACACCTTCACACAGACATACATGTAAGCAAAATACCTATGCATATAGAATAAAAATAAATAAATTATGAAGAAAAAAGAAAAGAAAATTCTCAATAAAAAGAGGAAGAAAAGAATTGCTAATTTAAGTAGCCACACTAAGGTACAAAAAAGAATAAGTTGGAGGGCTGGAGAGATGGCTCAGTAGTTAAGAGTGCTTGCTGCTCTTCCAGAGGACCTGAGTTTAATTCCCAGAACACACATTGGGCAGCTCACAATCACCTGTATCTCCAGCTTCAGGGAATCCAATGCCCTCTTCTGGCCTCCACAGGTACCAACATACACATGGCACAGATATACAAACATATACATAAATATAAAATTAAGTAAATAAATCTTTAATTAAAAAAGTAAAATGAAAGTTTTTTTTAAGTAACTAAAAGCAAGGATTACAGTAGTCTTCATTTGATTGTCAGCTCTAAGAAATTAATACTATCTGTGGCAGTTTGAATGAAAAAGTCCTCCGTAGGTGTGTAGATTTAAACACTTGATCCCCAGTGGATGGTACCATCTGGGGATGTTCTGGAGGTGTGACTTTGTTGCAGGAGGTACATGTGGAGTCCAGCTTTGAGAGTTTAAACTCCTGACATTTACTGTTGCTCTCTTAGCTTAGTGCTTGCGGTTCAGGATGTGAGACTCGAGAGACGACTCAGAAGTTCAGAGCACATTCTGCTCTTGCAGAGCACCTGAGTTCGGTTCCTAGCACCCACATCAGTCCTCTCACAACTGCCTGTAACTCCAGCTCCAGGGGATCTGATGACCCTTCCTGGCCTCCTCAGGCAGCTGCAACTGACGTGCACAAACCCACACACATAAATACATAATTGAAATTAAAATGAACAACTTTTAAAAAAGAAGGTGTGAGCTCTTAGCATCTAGTTCCTGCTGCCATGCCTGCTGTTTGCTGCCATGTTTCCCTGCTATGGTGGACTCGTTCCCTCTGGAACTGTAAGCCAAATAAACCCTTCCTTCTGTAAATTGTCTTGGCCACGCTGTTTTATCACAACAATAGAAAAGTGATGCATAGATGCCTGATTGTTGAAATGCATGGAATTCCAAAGCTATGTCTTGGTGTTGCAGAACATAGGCATAGTGATGGACTTAACACATATTTTATGTCTGCTTAAATTGTTTTCATCCTTCTAGTTTAATGAATCCTTCTCTCCTGCCAGTCACTGCTCTTCTGATTCTGATTTCATCCTGAGTGTTAAATTCCCTCTGTCGTCATCCCTCCTGAATATGGAGCAACACTCCCAAGATCTTTTTTTTACTTTTTGTATGTGTGTGTGTACCTACATGAGACTGTGTGCACCTTGTGTGCAAGAGCCCTCAAAGGCCAGAAGAGTGTCAGTTCCCTTTAGAATTAGAATTACAGTGGTTATGAGCTGCCATGTGGGTTCTGGGAATCAAATTCCACCCTCTGTAAGAGCAGCCAGTGCTCTTAACCATTGAGCCATCTCTTTAGCCTCCATCCTCAAATGTGTAAGTGTCTGAGCCATCTTAAGTTAGGTTCTTTGAATCCCGCCGTCCTAGCTGCCGGTGTTGGAGAGAAAGGGTCTGCAGTGTACTTGATCAGGTCTGTAACAGACCACTGCCTCCACTAGTATTTGGATGTGCTTGGATGACTTGTTTATTTCATCACTTTCAGTCTCCCGTGCCAGCACTTCCCAGTCTCTTCCTTGTGCTGGGATGATAAGGCTATACCAAGATTCATGCACTCTTGCCCTCCTGAGAGTAGATTCCCTTTTCACATGTCAGTTAAGATCAGATCATTTCCTTATCCTTTAAGAAGTGAAAGGAAAATGAAAATTAAAAGAAGTGGAAGAAAACCTTGACCATGGTATGTGCTCAATGAATATTGACTGGTGTTGAACTAATTAAATGTTTCTTTCCCAAACAGCTCTCCTGTTGAGATTAGTTGACTCGTCCATTTAGTGTTCGGTTAAGGAAATTACTGGATTGGTTCCCTTGGCTACCTGTGCAGCTCTCCCCACTACTTTCCAGCTTGAGTCTTCAAGAGGGAGCCTCAGAACTGATTTCTAAAACCAATTGTACTTGGTGTGATTATAAAGCAATGAGACTGATTGTCATATGTCGTTTGTGGGATCCGTCTCAGTTACTTTATAGCCATACCTGGTATCCTACACCACAGATCATGCCTGTTGATGAACATTGTAAAAGCACAAACTTAAGGTTTCTAGGTGGAAATTTAAACTGGTTTAGCATTATTTTATGATTTCTTTTTTAACTTACTGGCCAGAGGCAGGTATTAATTTCTAATGCTAACTTTAATTTTGTAGTTTTGTTTTTGTTTATACATTTTTAAAGCAAAAAATAAAAATAAACTGATAAACTACTATACTGATAAAATGACTAAAACAGTTTTGAATACAATACATTGGGCTGTATTTTTCTTAAAACTTTTGTTACTGAGTTTCTGTTGCATGTCATCTTGACTGCTAAACATAACAAAATATATAAAACCAAATAAATATTTTTTAATATTCATTGAAGGAGCTTTCAGAAGGTCAAGTTTTGGGGTACTCTGCTTGCTTGTTTTTAGGGGATATTTTATATTTGGATGCGCAACCCTTCTTCATTCTTCACATGGTGGTTATAATTTTCTCTTTCCCAAAATAAAATGGGAAGCCTAGCCTCCAGTTTTTCTCTGGGTTCTTTGGAAGAGATGCATTATAAAAGTTGCATGTTGCCACACTTAACTCTCCCTTTAGAAAGGACAGCTGCTGACAGTTGCATGTGGTAAAGAAGCTTCCCTGTCCTCTTAAAATAAAGTGAAAAGCTGTTCCCTATTAGAGGACAGACGGGATAGTGATCCATGATATCCTTGGGGGAGTAACTACTTGCTTTGACTTATTACTGTCCCTGGAAACCATATAAGAAAAGGACTTAGAAAAACAACCGAACCATCCTTGTAATTAATTTACATAACGTGTGCCTGTGGGCAGACTTCTGAACAGCTATTAGAAGCTGAAGGCTTTGGATTCCATTCTGGGTACTAGTCCAGAAATTTGAAACTTGGACCTGCCTAGAGGATTTGAGTGCACTGAGCATGGTTAGACATGATGGGATTCTGGGACAGAATATTCAAGTTTGAGGCCAGCCTGGGCAACATGAGATACTGTCTCCATTTTGGGTAGGGAAAATTGTAAGTTTTCGATCCAGAAGGGCTCTGGAAGGAGCTTTACTCCTGTTAGCTCTAGACAGAAGACCAAAGTTAGTTTCAAGTGTTACCAGTTAAGTCACTCTGTAGCCAAGTGTGTGTCCTAAGACATGCTTCTTTCTATTCCATGTACTAGTTCTATGCACAGTTGTTACTCAGCAGTGCGTGTCAGAATGATTAGTGCAAGGACCACCTATTCATACCATAAGTGACAGCACTTTTCTTAAGATCTTTTGCTGTAGACTCACCCTGAGTAAGTCACAGGTGGCTGGCTTCATCATGTTCTCGATGCAGCTGTAAGGCAGCTCATGCATTGTTAGGACTACAGTTGTTCTATGCCTCGCCTGTTTGTCTGGAGTACGGCTTGTGTTCTCGCTCCTGTCAGTGTGCACAGCTGCAGCCTCATGTCAACTCAACAGTGGAGTCTGCAAACCTTTCTCAGTAGCAGAAATTGTGGTAATTTCTCTAGGGAACATAGATGTATATTTATTTGTCTCTATGAATTTCAGATGTCACTTGAGTCTGTGTATTTGTTTTACATTACAGGCACGGGAGATATTATTGCTGTCATGATAACAGAATTGAGGGGTAAGGATATTTTGAGTTATCTGGAGAAAAACATCTCTGTACAAATGACAATAGCTGTTGGAACTCGAATGCCGCCAAAGAACTTCAGCCGTGGCTCTCTAGTCTTCGTGTCAATATCCTTTATTGTTTTGATGATTATTTCTTCAGCGTGGCTCATATTCTACTTCATTCAGAAGATCAGGTACACAAATGCTCGCGACAGGAACCAGGTGAGCTAACTAGTACTCTAACCAGCCATAATCCGTGAAGACCCTATGATCATGCAGCTTAAATACTTCTTTATATAATATATTTAAAAACAAAACCAACAACAAAATAAAAACCTGTCAGGAGTGGTGGTGCATACCTGTGATCCCTGCACTCAGGAGTTTGAGGCCCGCTGGGCCACACAATGAGTTCCAGGCCAGTCTGAGCTAAACTCCATTTCAGTTTAAAAAAAAAAGAAGAAGAAAGAAAGAAGACATTACTTCACATAACCACAGTATGATTATCAAAGTCAGTAAATGAACTTTTTTTGACACATTTCTTAACCTATAGGCTCTCAGATTCTCCAGCTCTGCTCAAATGTGTTCTTGGTAGCAAAGAAAATCCCAGGTTGGCTAGGTCAGAATGTGGGTTACTTCGGTTGTGCTGTCTTTTTACTAACACTGGCATCTCAGGAGAGCACAGGTCAGGTGTTTTGTACTTGTCAGTGTGACGTGTCTCATGGCTCCATCCAGACTGTCTGCATTTTGTCAGCTTCACCAGCTCTCTTTGAAGTATTAAGGTAATGGTAACCTTGCTGTGATTGATCAGAAGCAGTAGAGATCCATTTCCCCAATCATGGCCTCTTGCCTCACTGTAGTAATATCATAGCACAGGTCCACTGCTATTGCTGAGTCCACTGATGTCTTCAGAGCTGTCCTGTGTAATTTGTGCTCATTTATGTGCATGTGTGCTTCTGGTCAACTCCATCACATGCAGAGTCATGAGCTCACCACAGTCAAGCTGTACAGAAAAGGTCATCTGTTGTCTCATAGCCAGAGACTCCCTCTTCCCCTAGCCCTTCACCACCACTAACCTGTTCCCCATCTCTGGTGTTGTCATTTCAAGAATGTTGTATAGCCAGGTGGTGGTGGTGGTGAGTGCACTGGGAGGCAGATCTCTGTGAGTTCAAGGCCAGCCCTCGTCTACAGAGAACTAGTTCCAGGACAGCCAGAGCTATCAGAGCTATGCAGAGAAAACTGTCTTGAAAAACAAAACAAAAAGGAGTGTCATATGCACTTTACCTGGAGAGCTAGGTGTCTTCATCTTCATTCAGCATGGTTCTCTTGAAGTCCTAAGTCTTTACGAGCTGCGTACATCAGTAACTTTTTTTATTGGTGAGTAGTATTCCATAGTGTGAATGTACTCTAATTTACTTAGCCACTCACTCATTGAAGGATAGCTGAATTATTTTCAATTTGAGGATGTAAGAAAACAGCTATGAATACTTGTGTACAAGTTTTTGTCTGACCATGAGTTTTTATTTCCTGGAATAAAAATACAACTTCTGAACACAATGTAAGTAAATGTTTAGTTTTTTAGGTTTTTTTTTTCTTGTTTGTTTTTCAAGACAGGGTTTCTCTGTGTAACCCTGGCTGTCCTGGAACTTGCTCTGTAGACCAGGCTGGTCTCAAACTCACAGAGCTCCGCCTGCCTCTGCCTCCTAAGAGCTGGGATTAAAGGTGTGTGCCACTACCACCTGGTGGCTAGTTTAGTATTTAAAAAAAAAAAAAAAAAAAGACGTCCTTTTCCAAAGTGGCTTCATCATTTTACATTCTGCTGGCAGTGTGTGGCTGATCCAGTTCCTCCATGTCTTGACAGCATTTGGTATACATTTCTCTTTTTGTTACTGTAATGTCCATTTCTCCAGTGGTCATAATTGAACATCTTGCATACGTGCATGTGTGATTGTTCTGTGTAAGTACATATGCATATATGTGGAAGGCAGAGGTCAGAATTGAGTGTGCTGGGGTTACAGACGGGTCCCACTGCACCCAGGTTTGTGGCTGCTGAGATGCAGATGCAGGGCCTCATGGTTGTGTGGCAGACACTGTGCTGACAGCTATCTCCCCACCCGGGTCACCCTTTCCAGTGTTTCAGGGAAATGTCCACTTGAGTCTGTTGCCATTTTCTTCCTGGGTTGTTTGTCTTTTACTGTTAAGGATTTTTTAAGAGATTTTATTTATTTATAATTTATATGTTTGCCTGGATGTATGTTTGTGTACCACGTGCATATACTGCTCAAGGAGGCCAGGGAGGGTGTCAGATTCTCTGGAGCTGGAGTTACAGGCAGTTGTGAGCCATCATATGGGAAACAGGAATCAAACTCAGGTTTTCTGGAAGAGCAGCCAGTGCTCTTACCACTGAGCCAGCTTTCTGGCTCCCTGCTATTGAGTTTTTAGACTCTGTGTATTGTAGAGATAGTAGTGCTTTGCAGGTGCTTTCTTCCTGCTCTATACTTCGTCTAGTCAACCACTTTAACAGTCTTGAAAGACAAAGTGTTGGGGGGTTTTCTAATTTTGATAAAGTTTAATTTGTGAATTTTCCCTTGAAATTGTACTTTGGGTATCAATTGTAAAAAGCTCTTTGTCTCACAAAGATTTTCTCCTTGCTTCTGAATGTTTAAAGTATTTATTACATTTTAGAGTCAAGTCTACAGTTCATTGGTCTGAAGCTGCTTCTCTTCTGATGCAAGTATTTTGTGCTATAAACTTCTCTCTGCACTTCTGAAGAAATGCTAAGGCTCTGCCTCACAAATTTTGACATGGGCTTTCATCAGTTCCTCATTCTCCTCCCTCAGGCCCCCCAGTGCTGGGAAGGTAGCCGTGCACCAGCGCTCAGCCTCGTGTGTTTTTTCATTTGACACTTCTTCTTTAACCTGTGTGTTAAGAAGTGCTTCATTCCCCTTGTTTACAGAGTCTGCTGTGAAGGAGTGCTAATGATGCCTGTTTGCTTGCATTATGATCAGAGAAAGACTTTCAGTTCTTTTCTAATTCTTAGACTTGCTTGTGACCCATGTATGGTTAATCATGGTGCTTAATGTATGCAGAAGAGCATGTGTGCTCTGCCGTTGGGGCACATCCTGGAGAAGTCAGCTCAGTGCACTCCGCTTGCTCCTGTGAGCAGGTAGGGTTGGGAGATCACCTTCCCACTGAGGGCACCTAGTGCCAGATTCGGGGGAAGAGTAAAATTTTCTCTTTGGCATTTGGCTAAAATAGAGCAGACAGTGTTCTGAAGGTTTTCTGACATGAGTTCCCTCTTTTCCAGGTGTTTTGATTAGGACAATCAGGCTTCTCTTTGGCTGATCCTGCAGGCAGTTCTGGGCTGAAGACTTCTGTAGCACATTGTTGGGAATCGGTGGGGCAGGGCAGTAAGGGAGCCCAGAGAGCTCAGCACCCAGTGTCCCCATTCAAGGCCAAGGCCCTAGACAGCCCTTCCTCTTTCCCTGGAATGACAGTATGCGCTAGCTTTAAAAAAGAAAAAAAAAAAAAAGATTGAAGATTTGGGTTTATTATTATTAAATACCATATGAATAATTAATAAATATTATTAAATGCCATATGGAACACCAAAAGTAGAATAATCAGGAGTTCTTCTGAAAACATTTTAATCAGAAAACCAATGATAATATCAGAGCTGAATGGGGCACATCCAAAGGCCTTTGAAACACTCACAGTTGTCCTGGGAGCCTGGTATTTGATGATCTCGCATTAATTAGCACCCTCCGTGGGGCCTGTATGTGACGAAGGAGTAAAAACCTCACCATCTGCCACAGGCCACAAAGGATGCTTGTTTCCTAGCGTTTGTTGCAGCTCCTTTCAAAGCATCCCTCTCCAGACAATACTTTAGTCGAAAGTGATGTTCTGACCTTTTTTCCTCCTTCCGTTTTCCCTAAGGTTGAGAAATGCTTGATGAAATTTTTATGTGGCTTAAAAAGCTTAGCTCATTAAAGTTTAATGTGAAGGTGGCACCAGCTGAACTGGTTGGAACCTTAGGCTGTTTTAAAAAGAAGCCTGAACTATTAGCAAGAAAAAAGCTGAACTGAAGGGAAAACTGAGATTTCCTCACAGAATTCTGTCTTGATGCTATTCTTTCTACAAAACATGCTACTCAGGAGAGCCACACATTCTGAGTAACTTGGCCACCATGGAGCAGTAGTTACACTGCAGATCATTGTACATGTAGTATGACAACCACTGCTGAGCCTGTAGTGTGTCTTCCTGAAAAACTATTGTGTGGATACCAAGATGATATGTAAATTTAGACCTGCTTCTTGTGTGTATGTGTACCCACACACACTCATACACACACACACACACACACACACACACACACACACACACACACACACTACCACAAGAATGTGGAGGTCAGAGGACAACTCTCAGGAACTGGTTCTCTCCTCTACCTTGGGTTCTAGGGATTGAACTCCTGTCATCAGGCTTGTACAGCAAAGACCTTTCACCATGAACTCACAAGCCTAGCTTAGACCTTTGAATCATTCAGTGACAGTTATTTTATACCAGAAGTAGATGTCTGGTACTTTTATATTGAAAGGGTTCATGAAGATTTTTTGAGAGATGTCAATTTTTAAAAACAATCCAATGATTAATATTGTGCCTTTGTATTAGACCTTTAGTCACCGTGACAGAGTAACTGACACACACAAGGGAGGAAAAAGAGTCTGCGTTCCCAGTGTCAAGTGTAAGTCCATCATCACAGGGGCCATTGCCTGTAGGCCTGTGACAAAGAAGCAGGAGGGGGCTGGAGAGATGGCTCAGAGGTTAAGAGCACCGACTGCTCTTCCAGAGGTCCTGAGTTCAATTCCCAGTACCCACATGGTGGCTCACAACCATCTGTAATGAGATCTGGCACCCTCTTCTGTATACATAATAAATAAAATAAATCTTTAAAAAAAAAAAAAAAAGAAGAAGAAGAAGAAGCAGGAGGAAGGACATGGCTCACATCGTGACAACCAGCAAGCAAAGAGGAGAGACAGGACACCGACAAGGCACCCTTCAGGTCAGGTGTAGTGGTGTGTACGTGCTTAGAGACGGAGGAAGCAGCTAGTCAAGGTTGTCCTTGTCTACATAGTAAGTTTGAGACCAGCCTGGGCTCTGTGAGAGGAAAAAAAGATACCTTCAACTCCTAGTGGCCTGCTTCCTCCAGTTAGGCCCTGCTTTCCTTTCTACAGTCTCACCATCTCCAGATAGTCTGTTCAGATTCCATTCCATCAGTGGAGTGCTTAAACAACTGATTAGGTCAGAGCCTTGATAACCTCATCCTCTGTAGAGATGCATCATAGACACTCAGCGGTGTGCAGTACTCATTTCCTAGGCATCTCCCAATCCACTCAAGTTGTCAAGATTAAACAGCAGTCTTTAATCCTAAAGCAGTCAAATTTGATTCCTAAAGCAGTCAAATAAAATTGTTATTTTAGTGGTGAAGAATAAACCAGATATAAATTTTTTTTCACAAGCTAACAACCTCCAAAGTTTAAAATACCTTCTTGGGAAATTTTCTTAGAAAATGCATATAAATTATCAAGTATTTAAACTTGTAAGTACTTTAATACTTGTTGCTTTAATATGCATATACAGTATTCTTGGCTTTGTGAATACCTCATGGTTACTGAAATAACCTTTTATTGCCCAATTTTGCCTTAGATAAGTATCAAATCAAGAATGCACCGTATGCCTGGTGTAGAAATACATTGAATTAAGCCAGACATGGTGGTGCACACCTTTAATCCCAGCATTCAAGAGGAAGAGGCTCTGTGACTCCGAGAGTAGGCTGGTCTACAAAGCAAGTTCTAGGACAGCCAGGACTACACTGGGAAACCTTGTATCAAAAACAAATAAAAATATATATTGAATTTCCCTGCATCAGGAAAACTAATGCTTTGCACTTATACAGTTAATCTTTGAAAATGACAGGTTTTACCACTTTCTAAAGTGGGGTAGATGGAAATGGTGTATATATTGTAAAGATTTTTCTCCGTTGAAAGATTCTATGATCAAAAAAGAGATTTATCATTTTAAGATGGTAGAGTGAATTTTTTATGTTTCTTCAGGAATTAACAATTTCTGAAGAATTGGGAAAGGATATAATTTGAGCAAAGTAGTTAGTATTTTGTCATTTGTTTTAGATATTGCAAATACTCAGATACCTTCTTTTTCATGTCTCACTCTAATGATCAGTTTATGTAAACAACTAATAATACTTTCCATAGAGAGACTTTGTACCTTCTAAATGCTATACACGAGCTTACGGTTTTTGTTTTTGTTTTTCTGTTTTAAGATCAGGGTGTTGTGAAGACATTCATTGTAAATCTTTATGATTTAGCAAAGAGCCTGCCTGGCGTGTCACACTGAGTTGGTGCAAATAGAGAGTGAGCTTCCGCTCTTCTGAGAAGGCAGACAGGTGTCACCCAAGCGCTGTGTGTAGAGTTCCTGTTTGGAGGCAGTGATGTTGCTCTTGGTGAGTCAGACACTTCACAGAGGACGTAGTGATGTTTGAGCGGAATTTCATTTCAGAGAATGGGAAAGACTTCATCAGACAGGCTGAAGGGAAATTTCAGGAGTGGATCATTTTCCACAAAGAAAAGGAGAGTTGAGTAGCGGAACATTGAGAAGGTAGGAAAGAAAAACGGGGCCTGTGAGCCAGTGTTAGATGGGAAAATTGACTACAGTGGAGTTGAATCACAGGCTGAGGAGTTTGGGGTTTTATTCTCTAAGAAGTAAGGGATCAACCAAGGTTTTCTAAAGGTACAATAATGCTAAATATTTTCCCAGCCAAGGATGGTAGAAACTGTATTCTGGAGACAGAAGCAGGAAGATCAGGAGTTCAAGGCCAGCCTGATCTACATGAGCCCCTCTTTAAATAAAAAGAAAAAAAAGGAAACTTTCTCATGACAGGAGAGACTTAAAGGAGAAAACGAAGAGCGAAGGCAGAAGATTAGTAAAGCAGATGTGTAGAGGTCAGGGAACAATTAGGGCAAGGGAAACAGTTCCTGAAAAAAACAGACGCTGGAGACAAAAAGAAAAAAGTGGTAGTGATGAAAAAGTAAATGAAAGATGCAGACAGGATGGTCTGAATCCAGAGGAAATGAGATTCATCGCCCCTGGATTTCACCAGTGTTTCAAAGAGAAGGCCCTACTGTGTGCTGATAGAGACCTAGTTCTGTATCTGTGGGAAAGCTCTGATGACTGGAAGCCCTGATACCTCATCAGAGTGACCTGTCCTCAAAACAGTGATCCTGGATGAATTCTTGTCCGATTAATGTTGTGTGAGTTGTTTTAGGCTGGTCATTGGGTAGCACTTGCCACCAAACCTGGCAGCCTGAGTTCAATCCCCTCAACCCCCATGGTAGAGCAGAGGACTGATTTCCATATGTGTGCCATGATGAATGAGCACATGCACGTGTATACACACACATACTCACACAATAAATAAATAAATAAATAAGTTAAGCAGTATGAATGGTTTGAAGTTGTCCTACCAATTTAAACCATTTTTGATACTTTGCATTCAAGTACAGAAGTGGCTCAGCAGTTAGAGTTTTTGCTGTGTAAGCAAGAGGACTGGAGCTTGCATCCCAGCACCCACACGAAAGCCAGGTGTGAGCTCCTGTACCCTGGTAACCCAAACATGGATCAGAGACAGGCAGATCCCAAATGCACAGTGGCCAGCAAGCCTAGCTTGGTGGGGCCCAGGTTCAGTAAGAGGCCTTGTCTCAAGGTGGACAGCAAGAGGAAAGATGCCCAATGTCATCCTCTGACCTCCACACATACATACATAGACAAGCACATCTGTACATACGTATATGCCACACACAAATTACATAAATGATAAGTAAGTAAAATGAATAGAGAGCACCTTAAAATGAACTGTATATAATCTTGAAAATGTTAAATACTCAACCTCCTTCATAGGTTAGATATATGATAAGACCATATTGAAATAGCATTTCTTATTGTTCCATTTGCCAAAGAAATCTAAAATTTGATGACATGCTTTCTTGGCAAGGTTGTAAAGAAAACAGATACTCTTGTAGGTTGATAATAGTTCTTAGGAGGCAATTTATGATACCTAGCACAATTATATGAGCGATTATCCTTTGTCTTAGCCTCACATCAGACTAGTAGTCTAGCCTGATGATAAATTTACAGATGATAAAAATAGTAGCAGTACCAGGTGTTGGTAGCTCACCCCTTTAATCCCAGCACTTGGGAGGCAAAGGCTGGTGGATCTCATGAGTTCGAGGCTAGCCTGGTCTATGGAGCAAGTTCCAGGATAGGACTACACAGAGAAACCCTGTCTTGAAGAACAAACAAACAATAACAACAACAGATGCTAGCTGTGCTAGTCTGTTCATTTTAGTGTTGTTTACGAGAGCAAGACTTGAAATAACCAAATGTCCACCAGTAGATATCTGGTTGCTAAGGTAGTGCTCTACACAGCCAGCACTAAGTGCTTGGAGTCATCTATAGCTATAAATGTGAAGAGAGTGCTGACAGTCTCTGTGTGCTTCTGTCAAGCTGTCTCTAGGGTGTATTATTCAGGGAAAAGCAAGATATGCACTTGTAAGTAGAGGAAGGCTATGAAATTACATTCATATATATGGCTATATAAAGCATATGTATCTATCTACATGTATGTATACTTAACACATATATGTTTATTTTCAAATTGAAACAATGTAAGGATAAAACAGCAATTATTATTTGGGGAGGAAAGGAAATGGGATGAAAGAAACTGGAAGTTAAACTTCCTGTACTTCATGTCATGATTTTGAGTTTAGAATCACATGTTTCACATGTTTTAATTGCTAGAATAAATGGGAGGTTGTGTGATGGCATATATTTGTAGTCCAGCTACTCAGGAGGCTGAGGCAGGAGGATTGCTTTGTGTCCAGAGGTTGAGGCCAAGTCAGCCTGGAAAACACAAATGAATAAGTAAGAATTTTTAAAAAGGTAAACAAATGACTATTTGAGACGGTGGCCCAAGTGCAGCGACAAGACACTGTCAGAGAATCTGTGTTAATATAGTGTTTTTATTCAGATCCCAGTCACCTGCTCATTCCTCCTGGATCCACCCACCAACTTCCAGCTTCCTGTCCTCTTTAAAGAACTCTGTATCCAGTTTGTGCTAGATGTGGAGCGATCCACCAGAGCATGCTTGACCTACCAGGGACCACATCCTTATGAAAACTGTCTCTCCCTCCCCCAGAAGCCATCAGCTTGTCAGTACCTCCTCAGCTAGGAATGGGGGCTCGTGAACCCTTTCCCTCCCCATGCTTGTAGGTGGATTTTTCGTTGAGACCGTTGACGCTCCAATAATGACATGGAGATTTACTATTAATTATGAAAGCCTGGCTGATAGCTTAGGTTTATTTCTAACTAGTTCTTATAACTTAAATTAATCCATTTCTATTAATTTACTTCCTGCCTGTAGCTTTATTACCTCATCTCTGTATTGTCCGTCCTGTTGGCTCAGTGTCTCCTGGTGTCTCCGTCTTTCTTCCTAGCATCCACTATGCCTGGAAATCCTGTCTAGCTATTGGCCATTCAGCTTTTTATTAAACTAATCAGAGTAACACATCTTCACAGTGTACAAAAAGATGATCCCACAACACGTGCTCGAATATTGACTGGCTTGATCTTGTACCAACAACCAGAGCTCCTGTGAACTCACGAGTGTTAGTCCTGTCGTGTCAAAGAAACACTGTTTCACTTCAAGGAACTTTTTTACAGATTGATTGATTTTTATTTTATGTATGGCAGTGTTTGTATATATGCCTGTATGGCACCACATGTGTGCTTAGTGCCCTCAGAAGTCTGAAGAAGGCAAGGGCATTGGATACCCTGGAACCAGGGTTATTGATGACTATGAACTTGTATGTCAGTGCTGGGAACTAAACAGGTCTTCTGTGAGAGCAACAAGGACTCTTAACTGCTGAGCCATCTCCAGCTCCAAAGGAACTTTTTGTAGTAGTACATTTCTTTTGGAGTATAACAAAAGTAAAATTGATAATTCTAGATTATATCAAAAGCAAGGATACAGCCAACAGATTAGAAAGGCATCCATGAAATGTAATGGAATTGTAACTTGTAGATTTTATAAAGGATTAAAACACAGACTATATAAAGATCTCCTCCTACATTTCATTAACAAAAAAAAAAGATTTAGCCGGGCGGCGGTGGCGCACGCCTTTAATCCCAGCACTCGGGAGGCAGAGCCAGGCGGATCTCTGTGAGTTCGAGGCCAGCCTGGACTACCAAGTGAGTTCCAGGAAAGGCGCAAAGCTACACAGAGAAACCCTGTCTCAAAAAAACCAAAAAAAAAAAAAAAAAAAAAAAAAAAGATTTAAAAAACAGGCAAAAGACACGAATACAAACTTCTCCAAAGAGAATATGAAATGGCCAGTAGGCAGATTTAAAAAATGCTCAGCCATCTAATTAGGAAGATACAAATGAAAGCCATGTTGTTCTTCATATCAGGATGCTTAGAGAGAAAGAGAGAGAGAGAGAGTTATAAAAACAGAAAATAACAGCTACTGGCGTGGATACAAGGAATGTAACGGTAGTGCATTGCCAATAGATAAATTGATGTGTCCACTATGGAAACACAATATGACAATTTCTAAAAATGATAGACATTAGCAGGAATTTAGATATATTTGTAGCATCATAATCCACATTAGTTAAAAAGTAGAGGCAGTTCCAGAGTTTATCTACACATGAATGGCTGAATAAAATGTGATATGAACTGGGCATAATGGCACATGCCTATAAATCCAGCACTTGCTAAGCTTAGGCAGAGATTGTCAAATGTGATACCAGCATAAGGAGTACATAGCAAGAGCCTTTGTCAAGAAAATTTGTATATACATACAGTAGGATGTCACTCAGCTTCAGAAAGGAAGGGAATTCTGAGGCGTGCTACCATAGCAGTGAACCTTGGAAAATACACTGGTTACAAATAGTGTGTGATTCCTTTTCTATAAGCTACCTAGAATAATCACAATCATCATAGTAATTACCAAGAGCTGTATGAGTGAGTTTGGATGCACTGCCACAAATATACTTAATTTACTGAGCCACATACTTTAAAAGTAGTTAAGATTGTAAATTTTATGCTACATACATGTTAACCACAATTTTTAATTTTTAAAAAAATCTGAAATTCAGGACAGAGCTAGGGCTATTACACAGAGAAACACTGTCTTGAAAAACCAAATATATATGTGTGTATGTATATTATTATATCTAATAATATAGTATATATAATATATATGCATAAGACTAAGGAGATATTTCAGGAGCATGGTGCATGTATAATAAGTGTTAATGTAAATAGGTAAAAAGACTGGAACAAGCCATACCTTTGTAACACAAATTAAAATAAATTTTCAAGTGGTTACATTAATGCCAGAGTAAATTTCAGAGCACAGCTGTCACTGGGGATTGAAGTTGGGTTTTTTTTGTTTGTTTGTTTGTTTATGTGTAGTAGCCCTAGCTGTCCTGGAACTAGCTCTGTAGACCAAGCTGGCCTCGAACTCACAGAGATCCGCCTGTCTCTGCCTTCCAAGTACTGGGATTAAAGACCTATACCACCATCACCACCACCACCCAGCTTGAAGTTATTCTTTTTTGTTTTGTTTTGTTTCTGTTTTTCGAGACAGGGTTTTTCTGTGTAGCTTGGGAGCCTGTCCTGGAACTCGATCTGTAGACCAGTCTGGCCTTGAATTTACAGAGATCCGCCTGCCTCTGCCTCCCGAGTGCTGGGATTAAAGGCATGCGCCACCACCGCCTGGCTTGAAGTTATTCTTTTTTTTTTTTTTTTTTTTTTTTTTTTTCTGGAGCTGAGGACCAAACCCAGGGCCTTGTGCTTGCTAAGCAAGCGCTCTACCACTGAGCTAAATCCCCAACCCCGAAGTTATTCTTAATAAAGCAGTCACTTAAACAAGAAGACATCACAGTCTTGAATGCTTAGTAACAAAACTTTAAAAACAGGAGGTGAGAACTGCTGGCCTGCCTTCTCAGTCACTGAAGGATAGACAGCCAGAGAGCAGCTAGTGTAGAAAAGACTTATATGGCCAGCTGATTTAGCCTGGTTAACATTTGTAGAGAACTCCGTCCAACAAAACAGACTCTACGTTCTATTGAAGTACATTCTAGGCCGTAGAACAACGGAGGCAAGTTTACACAAAATATGATTTGTCCACTGACCACTTGAAATTAAATAAATCAATAGCAGAAAAATCTCAGGAACCCCCAAATATGTAAAAAATTAACCCATGGTCTTAGGAAAATCAAAAGAGAAAATGTAAACCATTTGAACTGAATGAAAAGCAAAACAGTCCATCAAAATTAGAATGATATCTCTAACACAGTGCATGAAAATAAACTGTGAGCTCTAGCCACAGGGTTTTAACATGTTTTTAAATGACTATCACATGTACCCCTTAAATGTATGTACTTTAAGTCCATTATATCACTATAAGGCTGGTTGTTTATTTTCAAGTATTGTAGATGGGACTCAGGCTAAAAGAGACTTGAGAAACATAGCAACTAAATAATATTTAGACTTTACATGTTGATTCATACAAGCCAGCTACCAAAAGACGTTCAGGGGCCTCCAGATGATGGTTCAGCAATTAAGAGCATTTACTAAGTAGAATAGTACCATCAAACAAAAGCCCCTGTCAGAGATGACAAATGAAGACTGGATGAAGTGACAAGTCGGTAGCCTTGCAATACAGGGGGATTGTTAGATGAGATTACAAGTAAAATATTGATAGTTAAAGCTGGGTGATAGATACACAGGTGTTCAGTAAATTATTTTATTTTGAATTTTAATTTTCCCATAATGCTCTCCTGTTTTTGTTTCCTTTTAAAGTCCTTACAGCCTTACAGTGTGAGGAGGTCTCCCTTGGTTTTTCCCCTCCCCATTCCTTCGGCTTTTTTATCTGCCACTGCTCAGTTTAAAATCGAATTGTATTTAGAGTGCTGCCTGAGACAATCTCAGTTTACGTCTATTATCCCGTTGTGAACTCAGACTCACAAAGCATTCTGAGTCTTCTGTCCAGAATCCCATCCTGTCCCTGGCTCCTTACTAGGGCCTCCTTGCCTAGTTTCCCGAGTCTTAGCGCTGGCATCACTTCCTCAAAGCCTTCCCTTCCCTGGCATTCTTTCTTCCCTATTCCATCCCCATCACCACATGCAATGTAGTCTTTGGTCATTTCCTAAATTCAGGTGGCTCCTTAAGGCTGCAGATTCACCGTCAGGTCATCTTTGGGTTGTTGGTGTCCAGCACTGCTGTTTGTGACTGGCAATGTTGGATAAGTACAGTTTTAGAAATTACCTGAGTTAAACTTAGACAAGCAAACACCTGAGATCACAGAAAATAGTGTGAGCTGAACCCGGAGTAGACTTGTTGCTATGTCTGTTCTCAGTGCTGTAATGAGAACTTAGTGGAGGCTTTGGAGGTTCTTTTTGCTAAGTTCATGTCCCTAACAGTGCTTATTCATAGAGGACACTGGGAAAGCTCTCGGGGCAAGAGTGGGACTCCAGAGGATGTAGCAGCACTGATAGCATGGCATCACACAGTACACAGAAACAGAAGTGACTGGGACACATAGTTTTCTCACCAAACACACTTTTGATTGAACTAGAATGAAGAATCTGTGGTATAACTGCCAGGTTTTTCATTTGTATTACTTTTCCAGAATTTACTTACATAATGTGACAGAAGTGGTCTAGGATAATAGAGACATAATATCTTTAATTATTTAAAATAAAGATCATGTGCTGACTTCAGCATCACATACTAAAATGAGGACCATTATTCAGAGATCTTCCATTTAATGTTTTTATTTTTTGTTTTCTTAGCGTCGTCTTGGAGACGCAGCCAAGAAAGCCATCAGTAAATTGACAACTAGAACGGTGAAAAAAGGCGATAAGGTACAGTAATGAATTACTTTCTTCTTTGAAGGCAGCTTGCTCATGCTTTGTCTGTCTGGAAAGCCTGCAGCTAGTCTCCAGCTTTCCTGAACGTCAGGTGCTCTTGCCATCAGTAGCATCAGTGACTACTCACAGTTAACATGACTGTTCCTCTCTAGTTTTCTACGGTTAAAGCCGAGCACACGTCTTCCAGGAGTTCTAATGAGACAATTTGCACCTAAAATAGCCAAGAGAAGTACATTTTCTTCTATTTCTTAGGACTGCCACGTCTGTTTGGGGTTTTGCTTCTTCTCAGTTAGGACCTACCTGAAGACCTTCCTTTCTAGTTTGTCAGCGTTGGGCCCAAAGGGGGCCAAGTCAAAGAGACAGCGACAAATGGCAGAGTTGAAACCTTGCATCAAAATCCCTAGGTAGAGCTCAAGTGCCAGTACCATCTTATTGTCAGTTTCTACATCAGTATATTCAAACTTAACCAGAATTAAAAAAAAAAAAAAAGAAATCTCAAAAGGTAAAAACCAAGACTATCTGGCACCCCACACCCAGTGCTAATATTTTAGCAGAGAGCTCTGGAAGGATATGTGGTCTCTATTTTTTGTGTTTTGCCACATTTTTTCTTTCACCGTTTTTATTCCTCTGCCTGTGAATACTGGAGCGAGTTGTCCTCAGCACAGCTGCAGAAGTAGAGACATTCTCACTGGGTGTCACTGCGCATACACTAAGGAAGGAAAGGACACTTGCAGGAAATAGAGGCTACATCAAGACAGCTGCACTTAACCCTAGACCAGTTCCTGGAACAAATACTTTCTTGGCTTGGCCAGCTGCTATTAATTAGAAAATCCTTGGATTTCATACAGCCTACCTATAGGTCCTCTACCCCTCCCCGGTACTAAATAATCTTTCCTTAAATCATGAAAGCTAGCACACTTTTTATACCCCCTGCACCTGCCAACCTAAGCCAACCTAATGGCTTCGGCTATTGGCATACTTGGCTTTATGACAGCTATAGGGAACCCTCCTCAGCTCAGAGGATGAAGGAAGTCAATTAACCTGGAGACCAAACAACTGGTTGGTCTTTCCTGATTCTTCATAAATACTCAATATTGAGTTAAACCAGTTACTGCCCCGAGTCTATGAGTTAGGACTATAACAGAGGAATCTACTCATCACTCCCCATTATTTGTAGCTGTGCTTTAGAAATTGATTGGCTGAATGAGCCTCTTGCTGAGGCTCTCAGTATTTTAGATTTTAACAGTGAAGCCTATTGAGACTAGGTGGTAATAAAGGAATTGGGGTAGACACATGATAATCCAAGGTGATCTGCTGTGAATTGTTGAAAACATAGAGCTCTGACTTATTCTAAGATATCATAAATAGAATTAGTATGGATTGTATGATTGTCTCATATGTAATTTGGGTCAACCTACTTAAGCAAATGAAAAGTTACTATTTTTCACTCCTTTCCCTTTGTGGCCATCTGCTTGCCGTAGAATTGTCTTAGCTGAGTTGTAGCTCTTGTGTGCACACGCTCAGCTCCTGTGCTTCTTGTTTCAGGAGACAGACCCAGACTTCGATCACTGTGCAGTCTGCATAGAGAGCTATAAGCAGAATGATGTTGTTCGGGTTCTCCCCTGCAAGTACGTCAGAGTTCTTTGTTTGAAAGGAGTGGTATTAATGTCTTGTGTGTCTCCCTTCCAGAGTGAGTATCTGCTTGCTTCTGTAAGCCACCTGACCAGTAGCTCTCCTGACGGGCTGAGGCCCAAGTGCTGGCAGTGGGAGACATGATTGACTCTGGCCAGTGTCTCTCCCAAGAATTGTTTGCATATGTGTATAAGAAACACGTGACAGGTGCCCGCCTTTAATACTAGCACTTGGGAAGCAGAAGCAGGTGGATCTCTCAGTTTGAAGCCAGCCTGGTCTACAAAGCGAGTTCCAGGACAGCCAGGGATATGGAAAGAAACCCTATTTAAAAAAAAAAGAAAGAAGCCGGGCGGTGGTGGCGCACGCCTTTAATCCCAGCACTCGGGAGGCAGAGCCAGGCGGATCTCTGTGAGTTCGAGGCCAGCCTGGTCTCCAAAGCGAGTACCAGGAAAGGCGCAAAGCTACACAGAGAAACCCTGTCTCGAAAAACCAAAAAAAAAAAAAAAAAGAAAGAAAGAAAAAGAAACAAACAGGCTGGAGAGATGGCTCAGTGGTTAAGAGCACTGGCTGCTCTTGCAGAGGTCCTGAGTTCAATTCCCAGCAACCACATGATGGCTCACAACCATCTATAGTGAGATTTGGTGCCCTCTTCTGGCCTGCAGGCATACATGCAGGCAGAGCACTGTATACAGTATAAATAAACCTTAAAAAAAGAAACAACCAACCAGACAGATGACAACACCTAGATCATAACCTACAAATTTATATTCAGTGACCCTCCTGGGCTAAGCTGTTAGCTCAGCCGTAGAGCACTTGCCTAGCATGTACCAAGTTGTGTGTTTGATCCCTAGTACAGACAAAAAAGCAAACACAAAACACTTTTTGTTTCATTCCATCTCCAATTAGAGTCCATTACCAAGCCCTCCCATGAGCCCTCCACCTGATCTACCTGGCTCTGGATTCCACTGTGGTAAGGACCTGAGTTAGGCAGAATGAGAGGACTGCTGTTTGCTTTATAGCTGCTCTGAGACAGTACACTGCTCTGTGCAGGTTACATACTGTTTCTCTGGTCCTCCCAACAATCCAAAGAGGGTGCCTCTCTCTTGTTATACTGGTTAGTCTTCCATTCTGTGGCAAAGGATCTGACACGGCTGCTGAAGAAAGGGGTTAGCTTAGAGAGTCTCGGAAGTTCTCTGTGCAGCATCCAGTGGGCCCTGTTGGGTTAGCCTCTGGTGAGCATGGTAGAGGGCAGCATACACAGTGGGAGTCCGTGTAGAAGCAAGAGGACAGGACAGCCCCACTTGCTGCTTTTGTAGCAGCCTCACAAGCACCACCAGAAGAGTCCCATAGGAAATACTTCACACCACCAGTAGCTTAGGACCTCCACTAGGTCCCATTCCCCAGAAGTTCTGCCTCCTACCAACTGTACCCTCCTGATGACCAAAGTTTTCACCACAGGGACTCTGGGAGGGACACTCAGACTACACCCAAACCGTAGCACCATTGTCCAGTGAAAGATAGTAAAGCCAGCAATGGATTCCAGGTTTGAAAATATGGCAGATCCAGTAAAGGGGTCTGACTTCAATAGTCATCATTCTTTACATAAGATCTCTAGCTAGCATCCTCCCTCTCTGTCTCTCTTTCTCCCTCTCTATCCTTGCCTCTCTTCTGAGGTATATCCCCAGCATTCTTTTTACTTTGAGACAGAATCTCATTAAGTTTCCCAGACTGACTGTGAACTCATTCTGTAGCCCAGACTGACCTTCAGCTTGACAAACTCATATTTCATTTTCCCAGGTAGCTGAGATTACAGGCCTGCACTACGAGGCTGGGCTATGCAAATTTCCTTTATAAGCATGTTGATTTCTACTATGGTTCTATGCCAAGCTAGGGAATATAGAACACAAGATATCCTGTTCTGTGTAAAATGCAAAGTCACCTACTAAGAAACCTAAAACCAAAGATTTCTACTTTCTTCTCTTAATCTCATGAAGATACTCACATGACCTTGCCTTGTGACCTTGTGACTGAATAAGATATTTATAGGCAGTTGTGTCTCCATGAAACTCCCAGTCCTATTTTACTTACTCAGAAAGTAACATTTTGTGCCTAGGAAATACACACAAAATAGATTACTTTTTTGTTTTTGTTTTAAATTTTTAATCCTGGATCTCCAGAAGAATGCTGTGTACAGAAATAGAAATCCAAGATTCTGGAATAAGCATTCCAATTCTAGGTTATGTAAAGGAAGATCTTACCCAGCTCAGTGTAAGCAACCATGTAGAAAATGAGGTACTGACCATTTTTCTTCATTCAGTTATTTAAAATCCAAATGTGTGAGTGAGGCTGAAGGAAATACATTTATGAAGCGAGTCGGGAGGGTTGGTGGGGTACATCAGAAAGCAAAGCCAGCAATGCCTGCTTTCCCAGGAGGAAGCTGAGAGTTAACTTTCTTGTCTTCCTGTCCCTGCACAGGAACCCAGGGACCCAGCTGGTACCTAAAGCAGAAAGGAAAAAAGTCATTCACTGTTGTTATTAAAATGAAAGTGTCTTCCTCAAGGGAGTCTGATCCTAAAATAGAGGACTCTGAGCTGCTTGCTCTCATTCTTGCCATCCCTAAAGCCTTGGTTTTTCAGGTTCATTCTGAGTGTGCTCTCTCTCCCTCCTTCCCTCCCTCTCACCCTCTTCCCCTCCCTCTCCTCCTTCCCCTCCCCCTCCCTCCCCCTCCCCCTCTGTTCCTCCCTTTCCTTCTCCCTCCCTCCCCCTTCCCCTCCCTCTCCCTCTCTTCCTCCCTCTCCCCAGTTTAACTCAGAGCTTTCTCAACCCGACTCCCTGTCAGATCAGTGAGCGACTTTATAAAGACCCTAAGTGGATCCCCGCCATACATCTTTATTTGAGTAAGTCCCTGAGTGATTCTGATACCACAGAGTCACACTCTCCCCTGAGGTCCACAGCCTTGTGGGACCTTAACTTTCTGCAGCTGACACAAGACAGCTGCTGCTTAGCCTTTGTGTTTGTGAGCTGCTTAAAAGAGTGCCAGTTTGCTCAAACTTGAGGGAGGTTTGGCACTCTAGTGCAGCACTATCCCCTCCACTGTCTGTCTGTCCGTCCCTTATGCTAGATGTGCTGCACTGGCTGTGTCTGTTCTCCATGGTGCTTTGCAGCCAGCTGCTCTCTCAAGTCTCTAAAGACTTCTCTCTAAACTGTAGTGTTTGGTCTGCTCAGAACATGTTGTCCCTCACCTTAACAACAGTGCCATCCTCAGGTGCAGTAAAAATTAACTTGTCCCATTGAGCAACTTTTTGTGACAACCTTTGGCCTCTACAGGGTTTCTCAGCCCTGGCACTGCTGACATTTCAATCAGATGAGTCTTTGTTTAAAGGAGAAGGTGAGGGAAGCTGTCCTGCATGTCACAGGACATTTAGCATTGTCCTTAGCCTCTGTCCACTACTCCCCAAAAGTACCTATACCACACAGTCTTGATAATTCAAATGTCTCCAGATGAGAATCACTGACCTAGAAGAGGTTAACCCAGGAAGTTCTTCTGACCCCAAGTCTTCTCCAAGCTTCAGTGACTTTCTAGTACCTGTGATAATTTTCCCTGGTGCTTCTGTTTGGTGTCTTTCCACCTGGAATACCCCTGCTTCCTTTTATCTGTATGGTCTTTGACCCTGAGCCTTCCCTGGATTTCTCCATTTCATGGCTCAGCACTTTTGCCCCTCACTGTCTCCACCTGGTCTTTGAACAGACTAGACAGAGTTCCACCCCTGGCTGGATGCCACGTGCTAACCAGAGCCTTTTTCCTATCCTTGTTGGCCCTCCCTGTTTACCACAGCAGTGTCTCTCTAAACAATTCCCTAACCCCATTGCTCTCACTCTCAGCCAAGTGAACTTGACAGTAATCAACTTCATAGAGAGAACAGTTGTTGGATTTCCCTGAGCTTTCTATCACCAGGCCTCCAGCATGTCTGCCTCTATGCCCTCCTTGGCACCTCCTAGCATGGAGGAGGCAGCTCAGCCCTGGTCTGGTGCTGCTATTTCTGCCTAGGTCTTTGCCTGCCAGCTCTTTCCCTTTCTAGGGGACCTTGATCTATTGACTGTCTGTTCCCTTGGCTTTGTTCTGTCTGTCTTTGCTCCTCAGCATTTAATCATACTCAAGCCTTTGAGACTCCAGTTTGTTTTAAATCTGTCCCTTACCCATATGACCGTGCAGCTAGCTTTTGGTAGAATCTTTATTTGCTGTCTCTCCTCAGTCGGAAGACAGCCAAATGTCTATGTCTGTCCGTCCTTCATTTTTAACAAGCCTATTCTGAACCAAACCTTTCTCTGTAGTATCAAACCTCTGGTGAATTGCCTTGTCACATGACCTTTTCTTTTTGTCCTCTGTTGCACTGATTTATTGTGGACAGATGGCAGTTGGCATTGCTTTGGGGACCTCCTGCTTGTGTCAGTTGATTACAGTTGATCACCTTTTGGATGTTAGCCATCATGGCTCCAAAACTGGGAAACAGCCGCCTTATTTAAAGGTTAGCCACAAGATTTTAGCAGGTAAAAATACTGAGAAGGAGGGTGCCGCAGCATGAAGATGCCAGCCGGAGCTAAAACAGGTCAGGAAGCTGGCTGCTGCCTGATTGGGGAGTTGCTGCAGTCACCTCCACCTCAGAGGGAGATTGGCTTAAACAGCATCTGCCAAGCCTGGCTGGGGAAGGAGTTCTTGTCTCTGACCTTTAATGATCCTGGGTCCTTTCATGTTTGCCAGGTCCTGAACAGGGCACCCAGGGGCTGCAGAGCTGTGAAAATGACTCACCTCCAGTGTAGATGCCGCCCCTCCCCTCAGCCCCGCTGCTTTTTGACCTCTCTATTTCTGGCCCCTGGGGAGCAGAAGGGAGGTGGCACTGCATTTCAGTGTTGCAGGCTTTGTCTCTTCCGTGGTCTATGCATTTCCCATTGTGTATCTCACAGCGTTTCTTACAGAGGTAAAGGACACAGTGGAAGCTCTGATTGTTGCTCTACTGTTCTCTGTGTATCCCGGTCCACCGCTTAGCCCCTCTCTGCTGCTGTGTGTATTTTTATCACAAGAGTCTTTCAAGACAGTGAGGAAGAACTGCTTTTCAAGGTCTGGCCCCTGTGGTGCACTCTCTGGCTGATGAGAGGGCACTGTGATGGAAGTGCTAGTGCCTAAGGCTTGTTTCAAAAGTGTTGCCATTTATTGGGGTATTGTATGGAACATTAAGGTCACTTTGCCTGTTTAGCAAAGCTTTCCTCTCTCGACCCTTAGTGCTTCTCAGAGTATTCCAGGTACGGTTTTCATGTGCTTCAGTTGGCACCATGAGGTAATCCAGCCTTTCTTCTCCACTCTCCCACCCATGGTCCTTCAAGGCAGACAGCTGAGAAGCAGGAATAGTGGTGGGCCAAGGATCCAGATGCTTAGTAGCAAAACTTAGCCCAGAAACAAGAGGAAGGACATGGTGGGTATGGTGAGCAGTAAGCTGAGGAAGTGATCACAGGAAAATGGAAAAAATAGGTTAAAAAAAAATGGACAGCTGCAAGCCTGAGCATTTGTTCACAAAGGCGGCCAGGAAGGAGAGTGCAGGATTGTTGGAGGCTGGTGGTGTTTGATCCAGAGAAGGTGTGGGAGTTAGAGGTAGAAGGTCTGGAGTCAGATGCACAGACGCTGAACTGGTGGTGGAGATGGGAAAAGATTGGCTCTGGGTTGTGGAAAGAGAGTTGGATTCGTTGTGTGGGGTGCGGGTGACAGCTGAAAAGAACATTTGTTTTTAAAGAGAGTTCTTTCAGGTTTTAAGTTAACGAAGGAAGAAGATTCTTATTGGTCTCCAGATAACCAGTTAGTCTTTATTGTCTTCTATAACCACACAAAGGGGAACAGGTAATTGTCTAATATAATAGGACAGTTTTTCTTCTAGGTCACCACATCTATAAGAAAATAAGTACTTAAGAATTCCAACATAAGAAAAATCCACTTATGGCTCATTTAAGGTTAAAGAAACAGACAAGTTGTAAACCCTTAAACTCAGTGTGTGAAAATTTCACAGCATGACAAAAATGGGTATGGTCATGTGGACCTGTTATCCATCATTTGGGATGTGAGGGCAAGATTAGAGATTGAAGATGCTCCTCAAATTTGAGGCTAATCTGAAATACATGAGACCATGTCACCAGAGGCACGGGATTAAGTAAGGGAGGTACACCATTTTGTTCTTTTCTGAGTAGCCAGTAATTTAAGTAATAGGAAAAGCAAAAACAGTGCCCAGGACAGGCTAGAGCCAAATCCTTATCCATTAAAGACAGCTGCTGCTTGCTTATACTAGGGTTTCTACCATCTGTGGTTAAGATTCAGCTACCACATCACCTTCGTACCTCTCACTCCTGAACCAAAGCAGCCCTTTTGGAAATAACATGATCTCTTCTGCTCTGACAACCAGCCAAATCCCATCATCCATCCAGTGGCCAGAACACCTCAACTGTCCCACTCTGTCCTGGCACTAGCTAAGCCCCCAGACATCTATCAGCTGCTCCCAGATGTATGTAAATTAGATCATCGTAGTTTAGGTTCTACAGTTTAGATGAGATTTAAAGGGACCTTTGCATGCCCCACAGAGGTTAAGAAGTATTGTTCTGGGCTGGAGAGATGGCCTAATGTATAAAGGCGCTTACCACCAAGTCTGATGACCTGAGTTTAATCCCTGGAATTCATGTGGTTGTAGGAAAGAACTGACTCCTTCAAGTTTTCCTGTGACTACCACATTGTGAGCTTATATATGCATACCTACAAATAATAATGTTTTTAAAAAGAAACAGCAATAACAGTAGCTTGTTCTGTTCTATGTTCCACTGCAGCCCACCTTGGCACAGTTGAGTGATTCTGAACAGTAGCTGCAGATGACCCTCAGTAAGGGTTGAATCCTCAGAAGTCCCTCATCCTTCTCTGGAGCACTTTCTTATGTCCTTAATAAGTAGTGAGAGGCAGACATAACACCTTGTATTCTATAAATATCAGCCTCTCTATGGATTGATAACTTTCCAGCCTATAAAGCCCCTAAAGAAAGGTACTCAGGAATGAGAATACCCTATCTGAAAGTTTCAGACTAGACTGATAAATCAAGACTAGACTTCAAGATCTTGATTCTGGTCTCCAAAGAAATGGGTTATAAGGCCATCAAGTGGAATAGTATATATTATTGGCTGAAATTGTCAACCCAGTAAAAAGTTTTCTAAACCATCTTTTAAAATCAAAACTGCATTTTCAAATAGTAACCAAAATATTAAATTATAATTTTTGTTTGTTTGTTTTTTGAGACAGAATTTCTCTGTGTGGTTTTGGTTCCTGTCCTGGATCTCACTCTGTAGACCAGGCTGGCCTCGAACTCACAGAGATCCACCTGGCTCTGCCTCCTGAGTGCTGGGATTAAAGGTGTGCACCACCGCTGCCCGGCTTTAAATTATAAATTAACAATCAAGGTTTTAAAGGTATATGATGGCCCAACTTGGTATCTCTTAAATTGTCTTTTATCCCAAACTCAGATTGCAACATTTCTTCTAAAACTGCCCAAATATCTAGTGATGCCCCTTCATGTCAGCCCAGCACTCCAGGCTCCCCATGGTGGGTTGCAGCTTCATCAAGTTCCTGTGCAAGGGTGCCAGAGTTTGGGCATGACCTTTACCTATCCTTCAAAGTCTTTCTCCAGACTTCCTGTGAGAACAAGTTCCTATTCTAGGAATACAGACCCTCCCTGAGTGGCTGACTCCATCAGGAGGATGTGACTTTCCGTTCACATGAGTAGGAGAGGCTGTCATTGTCCCCCATCCTCAGCCCTTTAACATTTCAGCCGAGAATCACCAACTGATGATCTCATTATTAGATAGAGTTCACCATCCTAAAACAGTTCTAACTGCCCTGTGACTTGTACCAATATTCAACCTAGGTTGAGTTCCATAAAACTGACACTTATCCAGAGAATTCTTCATTTAACTACGACTTAATATCTATGTGAAATTCCCTTTTTCTACATGAGCTACTCTTCTAAAACATAGCTTATTTATAAAGTCTGGTTATCTTTATTCTTAATAAATTTTTCTAGATTTCTTCAAGTCTTTTTTGGAATTCAGTGGCATGAAAAGGCAAGTTGGGTACAGTAGTTTACACTTATAGTCCCAGCTACTCTCTCATCACTTGTGAGCTTGTGGCCATCCTGGGTAACACAGCAAGCCCCTGTCACTTACACACATGTGAGACAAGTCCAAGCATCTGTATCCCTCTCATTCTCATTGCACATGAGATTAGGTGCAGAATTTCTGTAGGTTGTGTTTTTTATATGTCCCACTATTTATCTCTTGGGTGTTGAAAATCTAAAGCAGAAAAAATTTAAAATTCTGATTCTTTCCATTTTGACCTAGGAGTTCTTCAGTATATAATTTATGACATAATTCTCTGTTGTTTTCTAGGCATGTTTTCCACAAATCATGTGTGGATCCCTGGCTTAGTGAACACTGTACCTGTCCTATGTGCAAACTTAATATTTTGAAAGCCCTAGGAATTGTGGTATGTTCCCTGTTTGTACTACTTTTGTGTAACATCCTGTCCATGTGCATTGTGATACAACTGGCATAATAGAAGCCATGACCAGCTCTCTTTGGAATACTCCAGCTTTCTCTGCCACGTAGACCTTGTCTGAGCAGCAGTGCCTTTCCTCAGATGACTTCAGAGTTCTAAACTACCTCGGGAACATGAGAGTGTAAATAACTAGACTAGTCTACTTTAAAAGGGGTGCTTCTGATTGAGGGGACACAAGAGAAAAAGGGTATAGAAAACTGTGGTCTAATAGTGATTTTTCTTATATTTGGCATAATATGAACGATGTCATATTCTGCCCTCTTCAACTTGCCTTTCCTGTCTTTGAGTGTCAGTAACTTGCAGGCAGTGAAAGCAGATGGTAAGCACAAAGCCCATAGAGAGCCTGGAGCGACTTGACAGCCAAGTATGTTAGCCAAGTGTGCTGCACTGAGGTCAGCTGGGACGGTGCTAGAGCAGTACAAGGAGAATGTTGAAGACTTTCTTGCATTCCTTGCTTAAGAAAGATATATAGGGTTGGAGAGCTAGCTCAGCGTTAATGGCTAAGGCTCACTACTAAAATGTCAACAAAAGCATATATCCAGGGTATACTTTTAATAGAAAAGAATGAAGTCACCATTGCTAACTGTCTGTCCTCTGGGGGCCAAGTTATCCTCCATGTAAGACTATTTTAATAAATAACAGAGACTATCTCACATGGCCAGCATGTGGAAATAGTAACTTGTCCTCTGTCCATGTTTAATGGAGCCTTCTGGAATAAAGGTTAGCTGTCATGATTCTTTGGATGTGACAACTGTAAGCATCAGCTCTTACACTGCACTTTTAATTTTGTTTTTAGTAGAACTTTGAGAGGCTCTAAAAGATAATTCTTTTGCCCTGGAAGCAGTAGGCTCTGGGTCTTGACTGTCCCTTTTGTCAGCCATTTTTCTAAGCTCTGTTTTCATACTCTGTCTTCTGCAGACAGAATGAGCTGCATATTACTCTGCTGTGAGTGTTCACACCCACCTCTACATGGGTAGACTTCTGGCTGTAGCTGGAGGCTTAGGCTTTGAAGCAGATTATTTTCTTATCATTTACAAGCCTGAGCTTTGATCTGCTCTTGCTTGTGTGCTTTGTTTTTAAAGGTAGATGTTTTGTTTTCTTTACTAGATACCAAATAAATGGAGCATTCAGAGAAGTTACAGTATAAACAAGGTATTTTGTTACCTGCTGCCCTTAACAATAATAATACTTAATATTAAGATAATGAGGTAAATTTTCAGTCTGAAAGTGCCAGCTTTATAAATGGTATTAGCCTCCCTCTGCCTGTGACTGAGGCCACAAATGGTTATCATTTCTTTGCCTCACTACAGCGGACAGTTTTGAGCTATGAATTTTGGTTTTCCTTTGTACCACTTTTGGAAGGAAATCAGCTTGTTCTTTGAAGAAAGCTTCTTAAATGACAGTAGGAAAGATAGATGGGCAGGTAAATGAGAAGTAATTATGTGGACAAAAGCATGGTGAAGTTCTTAGAGTGGGTGTTAAACATTCAGCATTTTATAAACTTATTCTTGTAATGATTTTTTAACCTGGAAATATTTTTCAGCCAAATCTGCCATGTACTGATAATGTAGCATTTGATATGGAAAGGCTCACCAGAACCCAAGCAGTTAACCGAAGATCAGCCCTCGGGGACCTTGCCAGCGACAGTTCCCTTGGCCTTGAGCCACTGAGAACTTCGGGCATATCGCCTCTTCCTCAAGATGGGGAGCTCACTCCTAGGACGGGTGAAATCAACATTGCAGTAACAAGTAAGTGGGCCTTTGCCCAGGCACCGGACAGCATTGCTGCCGGTGTTGGGCAAGTGGTGACTGTCACGGAGAAAGCTGAGGCCACGTGGGCCAGCGGTGTCATAGAGGGAAAGAGAATATATTCATTCAAACAGATGTTTAGAATTCCAGACTCTCCTTATAATAAGGAATGTGCATGCTGGTGACAATGTGGTTAGTTGTTTTAAAAGTTTGTCTTAATGGCTGTTCAGTAAGCCTTGTTTTGAAGTCATTGCGTTGCAAATGGACACTTTAATGGGAGACACTGGAGTGCGTTGTGGGCTGGCGGGCAGCGGTGCTGGTATGCTGTGTGCCGAGCACTGCTGCCCATGATCTCCCGTGCTATAAGCAACTTGGTGAAAAACTAATGGAGAATTTGAACCTAAAAATAATCTGGGCCAGTTATGAAATGTCTTGATTGTTGAACTGTTAATAAGCAAAAATGTACTGTTGTGCGGGCAGTGGCCGTCTGTCTTCAGTGTGAGTGGGTTGGTGGTGTGTGTATGGGTGTTGTAGGCAAGGCATTCATCCTGTAACAAGCAAGTCCTCTTCTCCGTTTTCATTCTTTACATGCAGTCTCCATCTAACCACCTCCCACCCATCTCTCGTCGCCACTCTGGTGCTGCCTTTTCTAATAATGCTGCTGCTTACCCAGGACTTCAAGCCTAGCGTTGAGGAGGCTCCACTTACCTCTGGGAGTCAGTAACACGCATGGGGGAAGCAGTTTATGGAAGAACTTGCTCTTTACATGTTAAGGCTTTTGTGATCTGTTTTGTTGAAATGCATGGTTTTGAACCATCCAGAGGTTGCCATTTGTCTGAAGGCCAAGAGCTTTCATTCCGATAAGTAAAACTATTCTTTGATATAGTGTGGCTCAAATTTTTTTTTTTTTTTAACCATTTCCCAGTGCTTGTTTTAGCAGCATTTCATGGTTTCCTACTTTGGCATTTAGATTTTATGGTCTAGAGTTTCAAAACTTGGTCTAGCAGTACAAAAGGAGATAAAGGTGACTTAAGATTGCGTTTTTTAGAAGCCCTTCATTTATCAGGAATTTATTGAGCACCTACTACATTAAGCACTCATCTTGTCATTTTTATGTGGAAATGTCTTCAAAATCTTGATAATAAAATCTTTTGATGATAAAAATATACCAAATAAAACACCTTTATCAGAATTTATACAGAATGCCAGTAAAGAAAATTCGCCGGGTGGTGGTGGCATACGCCTTTAATCCCAGCACTCGGGAGGCAGAGCCAGGCGGATCTCTGTGAGGTCCAGGCCAGCCTGGACTACCAAGTGAGTTCTAGGAAAGGCGCAAAGCTACACAGAGAAACCCTGTCTCGAAAAAAAAAAAAAATCATGTGATTATCTAGACCTAAAGTATCTCTTTTCCTTCCAAATAACTGTATTACCTTAAGCAAGGACAGTCCCACTGTGTGCAAGACATTGTGCTGATAAGCAGTGGGATTGCAGAACGGTGGCTCGGCAGCAGCAGATTGCTGCTGAAGTACTCTTGGATCTGCCAGGCGGTGCGGTGATGGTGTGTCTCACGTACAAAGACACAGAAAGATATATGTGTTCAGAATTCAGAAATATAGATGGAACTGAAGTCTCTAAATGATAGTCTCTGAGCAAAGAGTTATGAGAAGGTGGGCTTGGTGGCAGCTCAGTGCTAGCACACAGTGGCACATGCCTATAATCCTAGCATTCCGAGCACTTAGGAAGTTGAACCAAAAGAATTAGAAGTTCAAGACCAGCCTCAGCTACAGCTAAAAAGAAAAGAAAAACAATGAATATTGTTACTCTTCTTGCTGTTGATAATAATCCATCTCTTGAATTTTAAAATACTAGTATACATATTCCCAACTAAAAACATGCATAGGTTAAAAAGTGGGTTTCATGTGGATTCTTAAGTATCCATTTTGACTTAAATAAAAAGCTTCAATCTGCCAGGCGGTGGTGGCACACACCTTTAATCCCAGCACTCGGGAGGCAGAGCCAGGCGGATCTCTGTGAGTTCGAGGCCAGCCTGGTCTATAGAGTGAGATCCAGGACAGGCACTAAAACTACACAGAAAAACCCTGTCTCAAAAAAACAAACAAACAAACAAAAAAAAGCTTCCATCTGATGCCGAGGAAATCTGTAATCCAGGAGCAGCGGCTGCAATGTCACATGAAAAGAGTTCACTAAGTGTTTTAATCATAAACCAACCAGACAGCCGAGATTTAGTCCATAGAACAGAGTCGGCATCCTGGAACCCGGAGAGCAAGTTCTCTTAGACTCTTCTAGAAACAAAGCCTGCTCACACACAGTTTGTGCAGTTTTAGGGTTCATGAAACCCAGACTAAGAAATACCCAAAGTAGAGTTGTTAGGAGCACTTGATACTCTTTCCAAGGACCCAAGTTTGGTTTCCAGCACGCACATGGGGTGCCTCACAACTACTTGTAACTCCAGCCCCGAGGGGTCCCACACTGTCTGGACTCCATGGGCACAGGTGCTCACATATACATACACGCGTACACATAACTAAAAATAAAAAAATTTAAAGAAATATGTTACATATATAAAGTCATATGGAAGCCATTACTTTGTATACTAACTAAAAAATGTTAAAATGAAGAAACGTTCCTGTTAGGCACAGTTTTGCACATGAACACTTGCCATGCCTTGTTACAGATGTAGAGGGATTTTATAGAATTACTTTGGTAAACCATCCTGATTAAGCTTACCCTTGGCAAAATTTTATAGTTACGACTTTGGAGCAAGTCAGATTGGTTTTCAGGCCCCAGTTTAGTCTCCCTCTGTCCCCGTGTATGCATGACTTGGATTTTAACTTCTACACACCTCATCAGTCATGGCCCCTCCTACTTTCCTACAGACTGAAGGACCAGTTTCACTTCCCAGCAAGAGTCGTGAACATATTTTCTTGGCACAACTGTAATGTGTCTTTTTAGTATGAATACTCTCAGTAAACTGATAGATACGAGAAAATGCGAACATGAGTGATGGAGGAGCAGCTTTCTGCTTAGCATACCCACATGACTTTGGAGAACCCCACTCTGTGTTCCTAAGCCTTATCTAAGATTGAGTATTAGAATCATGCAGAAATGGCAAAAAGGAAATTTGAAAAATGATTATAAATATGGTTGTTCTACTGTCATGTAAATTCACAGTAATATCTGTCCATGTACAGTTCTCCTACATAATTTCCCAGGCCTTTTGGTGGTCACACTTCTCGTGTACTTCTGGATCTAAACTGAAAGAAATGGTTGAGCCATGCTTTCCTTTCTCCTTGCAGCTTTTCCCAGTACTTCCACTAACCTTCTCTAGTTAGTAGCTTTCTGGCAAACTTCCTCCTGCTTGACTTCCTTGAGCCAGCCTTGGCTTACACCTCCGTTGACGTCTGCTTCGTTGCATTTGAGGGAAGTGTTGACATCGATTTGACTTAAATCTTCTCCCCAGAGTGATTTCCTCCCTTTCCTTTGTCAACAGAAGAATGGTTTATTATTGCCAGTTTTGGCCTCCTCAGTGCTCTCACACTCTGCTACATGATCATCAGAGCCACAGCTAGCTTGAATGCTAATGAGTAAGTAACAAATTGTTTTTTGGATTGCATGTGCCAGATGATCCCAAGAAAACAAGTAATTTTCATGAAGGTGGTGAGACTTGGCTTCCCACCTGTTTCATGCTGATCCCAGTGGGATCATAGTTAGCAAATAATTTATTTCATGAGCCATCTATTTTTAGTCACACAGACTGGGAATTCATTTTGTTCATGAAGACCATCATACATGAGCAAAGCTCTGGAGGCTCGCTTGAGTACAAGCTGGATCCACAGCATCATGCAGATGCCAGGACACCAGAACAGTCTTAGTATGTGAAGAATGTCCATGACCTCACCATTGGCAGGAATAGCCCCACTCTATGTGTGCTCCTAGGATTTTACCAGGAGCTTTAGTCAGCTTTTGGGAGAACACTAAGACCTTTGCCTGTGGTCAAGGACAGGAAAGAAGTAGGAAGGAAATCCACTGCTCTCAGAAGACTGTTGGGAGGTAGAGCTGTCAGAATAGACTGTCTCTCCAAGGGCAGAAAGAGGCCATGTAGGTTACAGAAAGGCAGAGTTGGCCTCCATAAGGAAAAACACCAGTCAGGCTTCTTAATGGTGAGATGGTCTTGCCACAAGGAACGCACAGAGCTAGGAATGCTGGCAGAAGCTGCATGTTGCTATGAGGGCTACTGTAGGTTAGACATCTTGATCCTTTTAATACAATGACTTTCCAGAAGTAGGATTCCACAGTAATATGATAATGGAAGAGTTTGTTTTCCATTGTTTTAAATGTTATTGGCTGTTCAGTCCTTTCTTTTACCTGAGTATTCGTACTACTTAGAGATTAGCATAACCCTGGGCCAGTGCCCAGATTTGAGCCTGCATTGCTACTGATGCATATCATGTGCTCTCCACATTGGAGTATGGCCTCGCATTTTAAGTTGTCAACAGTAAACAATCTCCTGAAAAAATTTAATTATTGTTCAACTGTGGAAACACAAAACTTTCACTTCCCCTGTCATATTACCTCTAACCTGATCTGTTGACAAATACTTGCAGGGAATATCTTCTGGCATCCATGACCTTGTACATATTGAGAGGCTACTGTGGTACATTGGTGTTCTTCACTCTTTATATGAATAGTCTTCACCTGTCCATTAGGTCAGTCAGCAACCAGCTACGTCTGTGGACACCGTTAGATGCACTTTTCCATCAGAACACAGTATCAGTCGCTCAGATTCTAGAGTCAGTCACACCTAGATTTGACTCTCACTCAACTCCTCCATTTTCCAGTTGTGAGACTTAGGCATTTAAATTTATCTGAAGATTATTTTAATCATCAAAATAAGCAGATAATGATTAGTCTACATCATAGGGCTATGGACTTAGTACGGTGCCTAGTATGTAATAAGTGCTCAATAAATGTTAGCCAAA